TATGGGCGGCAGTGCCTTCATGATGCTGCTGCTGTTCAGCTCTGCGTTTCCTCCTCTTTGAACTAGGAGGATGATCTACTCTGGGCATGTGGGGTCTCAGTGAGAGTGAGCTGGCAGAAACACAATCCACACAGGGTGGAGATGACGCCAGTTCGTTGGGGACGTTGTCTGGAGGAGATGGCAGAAGGTGTGTCAGCCTGCTTAATGAAGGATTGTTGCCTACCTTTTGTTTTTTCCCTCAACAGAAGTTGATCCCATTAAAAAATATTACCTCATCCCCTTTGTCTCTCTAGTATCCTGGAACCAAAAGTTCTACAACACCACTGCCTTTTGTTAGTCAGACATGCAAAGCAGGGTCCTGCTGGACTGCTGACTGCTTTCTGATGGTCAAATAGCAGCAGTGGGTTTGTCCATCTGTCTCTCTAATAAAGAGATTGTGACCTTTCTTCCTTGGTGCAGCCTGCGCAGCAGGTATCTGTGTCTCTGTCACCCTTAGATTGGGTCACTGCAGTACACACCACAAGGAGAGCCACCTGAAGACTGCATGAAAACTTCACTCAGTTCAGAATGCATCTGCCTCTTAGGCCTGGTCTACACTACAGAGTTAGGTTGAGACTTGAGGCACCTTACGTTGACCTAACTCTGTAAGAGTCTATGCTACAACGTTGCGCCTGCCGATATAAGTCACCCCCTACACCAACCTAAAAACTCCACCTCCGCTCACAGCTGTCAGCCCCAGGCGGGGGAGGGCAGTGGCTCCAGCTGTGAGCCCTGTGCGGGTCGGGGGAGCTTCAGCTGACAGTGCCTTACAATGTCCCACACAGTTGAGGCCGCACACTCATAGACTCATAGACTCATAGACTTTAAGGTCAGAAGGGACCATTATGATCATCTGGTCTGACCCCCTACATGCTGCAGGCCATAAAACCGTCCCTACCCCTTCCCTGGACTCTGCTGTTGAAGTCCCCAATCCTGTTTTTAGTGACTGCAATCGGCAGAGACCCTCCTGCTAGAGATCCCTGCCCCATGCTGCGGAGGAAGGCGAAAAACCTCCAGAGGCTCTGCCAATCTGCCCTGGAGGAAAATTCCTTCCCGACCCCAAATGTGGCGATCAGTAAGACCCCGAGCATATAGGCAAGAGTCTCCAGCCCGACCCCGTTAGCCATTATACTATACTGACAAAGGGGACGTAGTGTGGTCCTGAACTGCAGTACCTCGATGGCGACCTAACTTAGGTTGACTTAATTTTTGTAGTGTAGAGTTGCCCTTACTCGGGAGCATGTTTTATCTGGTGCATGTTACAATCCTGATCCTGAATCTGCAAAGCTTTGAGTTATTTCCCAGATGCAGTTCAAGTTCTTTATGGTCTGAATTTTAGCTATTTAGAAACCACCTCTCTCATCATGCCCTATGCAGTATTGCCAACCCCAGCATTCAACAATCGTGAGTCAGGTCCTCAAAAGGAAGTCATTATGTTGGCATCAAAATCTTGGATTTTAAAATAATAACTCTTGGGTTCTTTTTATTTGCCTCCTTGTGCTGAAGGGTTCAGGCATCATGTTTTCAAGCTTTTCTCTGCAACCACAAGAGGTAGAAACTTACTTAAAAAAAATAAAAGCTGAGACTCTCAAGGTAACAACCTGATTCCAACGGTTGGGGTCTTTAAGAAAAACAGCTGGGAGACCCAGCATACCTCTTATAGCCATGGCTCATGAAACCTTACACAGGACACCTGAACAGCAGTAAGGAGCAGTTCAACAATAGGCTGAGTAGGTGCCGGATGATCATGGAATATGCCTTTGACAGATTAAAGGCGTGCTGGCGATCCCTTTATGGCAGGTTAGATCTCAATGAGGATAATATTCCCATGGTCATAGCTGCGTGTTGTATATTGCATAATCTCTGTGAAGCTAAGGGTGAAAGGTTTGCTCAGGGATGGAGTGTTGAGGCAGAGCGCTTGGCTGCTGATTTTGAGCAGCCAGATACCAGGGCTACCAGAGGGGCCCAGAGGGAGGCAATGCGAATCAGGGAGGCTTTGAGGCAACACTTTGAAAACGAGAACCAGTAATGTATATCTCTGTGATTGGTGATGCAATGTTACATTACATGTAGTTTTCGTAGGAAGCAATGGTGACATTTGAGGCCTTACATTTCAGTAAGCAAATTATTAAACTACCTCTGTATGTATTGGTGGTGCTTGCTATCTCAATCTGTAGGAAACAAATAAAGGTGAGTTACCGTTCAAAAACTTTGCTTTTATTGCACAAGAAACAACACACACCCACACACAAAGACGCTTGGTGGGAAAGGAGGTACCTGGGAAGGACAGACTCTCAGAGCTGTGTGAGGTCCAGCTATGATTGTGAAAGTTGTCCGAGGTGGTGGAGTGAAGGGGAAACTGAGAAGTCCCAGAAAGGGGAAAGGACTGTGCGGGCGGAGTTTTGGGGGGCACCGAAAAGATTTCTGAATGTGCTGCAGGGGAGGGGGGGCATGCATCTGCTCAGTCTGCAGTTTTATTAAGGACTTCAGAATCTGCGTTTGCTCCTCCATTATTTTAATTATCCGCTCAGTAGCATCCTTAACAAACTCCTGATTTTCTTTTCTGTCCTGCCTTTCAGCTTCCCTCCACTCCTTGCATTCCCTTTTCTCTCCATTGGAGAAATGCAGTATCTCCTGAAACACGTCTTCTTTGCTCTTAGGCGTTTTCTTATCTGGCAGAGATGCTCGGACGGTGTGTGGGGGGTGTTCCTCAAGGCTACATCTGCCGAAGCACAAGGAACAATGCACAGAAGCCTGATTTTTAAGTTCACACACAACATTGAAACATTTCAGTAAAATATATCTCTGGGAACATACCAATCACTTTCTCACTGACCCTTGGCAAGCACACACCTCTGTGAACACCCAAAGCATGGTGAGTGTTGGCTGGGGTGGGGGAGCGCTCTACACGGGGGAAAGAGCACTCTGCAAGTGTTATGGTGCAGCCGACTAGGGAAAAAATTCTAAAATTCTTTTCCACAGGCAGGGGTCATTGTAGCAGATATCTCACTGCTGAGGGTAAACAGGGAAGTGAGGTTGCATCTACTACACACTTGTGGCTTCCACTCTTTTGTCAACAACACTCTGTAGTGTAGACAAAGCCTTAGTAAAAATACACCCATTTTCCCCCTCCAGTTTTCTCCTTAACTGTTTTTGTCCCTTATCCTGCAATTTGATCCATACAGGCACAATCCTGCCCCCCTGCGGAGTCTCATGGACTTCACTGGGGCCCTGTGCAGGTCTGCAGGTCTGCCCATGTAAATCATTTTGCAGGAGTGGGACCTTAGTAACTAACTGTTTTCAGTGAAGCACCTGAAGGCTGGAGTGGCAGGTTCTCCTGGCAAGAACAAAATGTCAGGGAGACTGGCGCACTTTCATGGGCAAACGCTGATTTGCAGCTTCCTTCTCTAATGTGTCTGTTCCTGAGCAGGGAAAGCGTTGCCCCTCTGCCTCTCTGCCATGTTCCTCTTGGCCAGTACGGTAGCATTTGAAAAAGAGCAAGAGGGGGAAGTGGGGGAAATGCTCCTGAATTGGAAGCAGCAGTAGGATGGTAAATGTCTTCATTATTGTGTCTCCCACAGAAGGGCAGAGATAACTTTCAAACAACAAGGGAGGCAACAGGGTCCTGTAGGTAAAGTAATGGACAGGGTTTTAGGAGAGCCGAGTTCAATTCCCGACTCTGCCACTGATCTGCTAAGCAACCCTTGGCAAGTCACTTTACCCTTCTGCTCCTCCTTTCAACCTTTGTCTCATACCAGGATGGATTAGTACATACTGTCTCCCTGCTTTTCTTATGCAGCACCAAATGGACGCAGTGTTTCCGCCTCTTGTGATTTTATCGCAAGCCTTGCAATATTTGGTGTTTTTTCCTAAAGTCCCAGCTTCTGGAGTCTGGTTATTTCATGATATTCTCAGCTTCCAGTTCTTCAAAAAGGAAGTTTTTAGTCTTTGTGGTTGCAGAGACAAGCTTGGAAATGTGACCCAAGTGGATCCTAAAGGCTCAGAAACCAGGAGACAAATTAAAAGACCCTCCAGTTTAGTATTATTTTATTATAAGACCCTCCAGTTTAGTATTATTTTATTATTTCTCATGGTTTTTAAGACAGTCTCATGATTGTTGAGGCCTTATATGTTTTGAACGCTTGGGGTGGGTGATACAATGGGCATAGTACTTCCTATCCCAAACAGTTGCATAGTGTGCCTGTGCAGTGCTGAACATTTGCCCCATTCCACACCAGAGGAGGCTGTTTCAGCACCGTGATTCCTTTGTGCATATCAGTGTGTTTGTAAAGGGAACCTTTAAGGATGGGGAGCACTATATAATGGTAAGACCACTTTTACTTCTCACGTGCTGCATTGCTCATGATACCCTACAAAAGTCTGCACTTCCCCTAACGAAAAGAATAAAATGCTGACCGGATGCAGCGATCTGCCATACTGCGGTGACATCAGTGTGAACTGTAGTGTTTTAGAGAACGGTGCCCTAAAATGCTGGTGTAAATCTTGGGGCCCAATCTTGCCATACCGTGCTGGGCAGAACTCTCTCAGGTCCCATGTCAGGAGGCTGGCAGAGCAATGCTATTTGTTAATTACTGTTTGTAAATTGCCTTGAGGTCCTTGGAGAAAAGGCACTAACCAAGTACTAGCAGTTACTGATTTTATAAGGGTGACCCTTTAGATCAGCAAAGGAGAGAGTCGGTTTTGCTAGGGAGCTTTTGGTGAGCTTGAAAGCTGCTGGGACTTTAGGGGCCAGTTCACAGAGGTGAGAAAGTATTTTAAAAGTCAGCAGCACTGAAGGAGTTAATGCACCTCCCACTCCCCCCCAAAAAAGAAAAGTGTCCAGCAGAAGGTCCTGTTTACTGTAGTTTCCCCAAGTCAGTCAAGTATTCAGGGACATGGGTTTCCATGGTAATGGGGCCTGTTCTTCAGCCAGCTGCAGATTAGCTCACTGGAAAGGAGTCAGGATGGGTCAGGCTAGGGAAGGGTGGGAAGAAAGACACAGGAGGGGGAAGGGGTGGAATTAACGTCACGAGCTTGAAGAGATAGTCACAAAATCAGGAAAGAGAGGAAAAAGTAACGGAAGAGTCTAGGGGAAATAAGCTCCACAAAAGCCAACGGGGGCAGGAAAAGGCTCTGGGCAAGAAACCGCTCTCCTGCTTGTGACTGGGGAATGGTTGAGAATGGAAACTGATCTGTATGGAGCGGGAACGTGGGGCTTTGGAGCGAAAGGAAAAATCCTGTCGAGTGGATTGTAAGGAACTCTGCTAACAAAAGAGGGGGCGAGCCAGGGAGCCATGCATCCAGATGTTGCTGCTGCTACCCGGGTGGAACTGGAGTTCCCCAAAATGAGAACTGAAGATAAAAGAGCTGCAGCCCAGCTACTGCCACTGAGAAAGGTAGGACTGGGATGCCAGTGTCAGAACTCCTCTGAAATTAGGCTTTGGGGTGGGGAAGGGATTGGGAGGAAGGGCCTGGGGTGGAAGAGGATGGTGAGATAGAGGGGGAGCAGTTTGGGGATCCATTCTGCGACTGGCGTTGGAGCTGTGGAACAAACTTGTCAAAAAGAAGAACAGGAGTACTTGTGGCACCTTAGAGACTAACAAATTTATTAGAGCTCTTTTTTTTGCGGATACAGACTAACACGGCTGCTGCTCTGAAACTTGTCAAAGCAGCTGCATTGATCAGGGTGTGGGGAGGAGGGAACATTGTAATTAGCTCCAATTGGTCATTGACAAAACAGATTGCGGTGCCCCCTATTTTTTTTTTAAAGGGAGAAAATGCAACCATGCTAACAAAAGGGATCTGCAGCGAGAGCCCAGCGTCTTGCTCACAAGTAGTTTTGGGGCGATCAGTAATGCAGAGAGTAAAGCAGCCTCCCCCCGCCCATCTCACCACTCTCTTTTCCCCCTATAGTTGCCGTGCGGAGCTCCCAGGAATGTAGATCGCGCCGCAGACTTACACATGAGGGTTTTCTTTCCTTTTTAGGGATCATTTGTTGTTTTAAGGAGCCAGATGGAGGCTCAGTCTAGCGGGGCTGGAGCTGTTTAATGTCATTGTAACATAAGGCTAATGATATGTGCACGTACACATACACGTCTCTAACTCTACCCTTTGATTTGGCTGGGAGAAGTACTTGCATTAGCCTCTTGGTTTATTTATTTTTTCCCAGCAATGAAACATAAATGGTTAAAGTTCTCTCCATTCCACACACACACCCCAGCCCAAAGAATTAATTAGCTGGAAAGCGCAGCTATCTAGAGAACTGACTGATTTCACACACTGCACTGCAGGAATGGGGTGGAGACCGTGAGGAAGGATGATTAATTTTGGAAGGGAGCAAAGGTCTGTGAGCCTGATTCTCTTGTCGCTTGCGCCTATGTAAATCAGGAGCAACTCAGTGGAAGTCCATCAGTTACAGTGACTTGGTGTTTGTTTGTATGAAAGGGGGGGAAAGTCTCCCAAACATTTCAACACAGTTATCAATTGTAAAAGCATTGGTGTTGCAGCAGAGAGGAACAGACTGTTCCCTAAATCATTTTGAAAGTCCAGGTTGAAAGCAAAACAAAATATCAAAACCGCTCGGGGGCGGGGGCAGTGAGAAGGGTGTTGGATGAAAAGATTGTGTAATGTTGCTGTCTTTCCCATCACACTTCAAAAGCACACTCTCCTTCATAACAGACCATCATTAGAATTCCTGAGAATGGAGAAATAAATAATAATAATAATCATAATGAAAACAATTTCCCCAGCTCAACGACAGTTAGTCTCCCTTGGATGGAGAAATTGTAAGTATTCCATTGCCTTTATAATGCTTTACATTTCCAGCAGCACATTCCCAAGTGGAAAAACTGACAGGCACATTTTTCCTCTAAATTATAGGGGGGGAAGCAGTAATAAATAGAACAGAAATTAAAAAAAAGTTGCTGGGCTATGTCATGTAATAATGGCTGATTTTCACTCTGCTGCTTTAAGACCCATTGTGGAGTCAAAGCAAACTCTTTGCAAGGAAACGACATTGTTGGGTTTTTTTGTTCTTAGTACAAGGAAAAGTTGTTTTAATTTCTGCTGATATACAGGAAAGAGACAATAGGACTTTTGCTTTCTCGTGGCTGGAGATTTTAGATAAAGGTATGATTTAAAGGGATAAAGCTGAGGGACTTGAGAAATTAGGTAAAAGCAGCAATGTGCAAACTGGTTTTGTGTATCACCCCTGGGAAGAGAAATGCAAAAAACTCAGAGGAAATTTTTGTCTGTTCAATTTTTTTTTGTCTAAATATTTGCTTCTGATTTACGAGACAGAAAACAAAGGTGGTAAGCATATTCCCTCGTAAGAACAGCCATATTGGATCAGACCAATGGTCCATCTAGCCCAGTATCCTGGCTTCTGTCAGAGGCCAGTGCCAGATGGTTCAGATGGAATGAAATGAACCAGGCTATTTCAAATGACCCTGTCGTCCAGTCCCAATTTATGTCAGTTCCTTAGCTCTGTAGCGGTCTGTAGTGTACTTTTAATCCAGCATTTTCTTAACAAAAGCAAATTTCAAAAGAATATTGAGATCCAAAACCAGTCACGTGTAGGTCACTGGTTTGAATGTAGCCCAGATAAGCAGTGACTCTCAATAATAGCTATTTTATTATCGTTCAACGAGACCTATGTGAAATAAGTTGCTAGTCTCAGTCCAGTTCCCAGTGGACTAGTGTCTAATCACAAAACCCACTACTGAACTGGCATTCAGCAAAGGCATGGAAGATTGAATAGAGATGGGCACATAACTAGTTTAATGTCTCACCCTAGAGGTTGTCCCTATTTCAGGGCTGAGGGGAATGGATGGGGCAAAGTGGGTGAACTTGCTTGGCAGCTATCAGTGGTCTTTTGCTACTAAACTGGAGACTTCACTCTCTGGTGCTTTCAATCCTGCGCCTTTGTTTAGCACTAATCTGACTGTAAAAAATAACACAATGACCACAATCAAATGCTCAATGAACTAATTCTTAGGATGGAATCCTGGCCCCATTGAAGTCAATGGCAAAATTACTTCATGGGGTCAGGATCTCACTCGTAATTTTTAGTTTGATTGGCTTTTCATTTCTTGGATTGCTTGAAATGTCCTTATTTAATTTACTATAGATGGAGCTCTCAGCACTAACTACATTAAGTGGCTCAGTAAACATGGCATCTGATTTCTACCCTTGATGGTGACCCTGAGAGAACTCACCTGACCATAGAAGAGAGGCTCAAATCACCTCCCTGTCATAGTGTCTTATGATAATGAACATTAATTAATTAGCCATAGGGCTCAGTCGGAACAACAGCTGGGAGGGGAGTGGGAGAGAATGTACAGATATCTTTGATCCTGTTCTTATATTGTGAAATGCACTATGAGGGACAAACTTTGTGAGGTGGCACGGCCCGTCAGACCCAGAGCTTCTGGTTCTATCTGTTAATCTAAGCTGTGGGGTGCCCAGATGCCACAGGTAGGGGTGCTATACAAGAACCTTGATAGAATCTAGGCATTTATACTGTGCTCATCACCATAGTACCTGAATCTGATAGCTGGACGCAGCAACTTCCCACCAGTAGTTGTAGCTCAAAGGAATAGACTACAAGCTTCTTTTGCCTCCTAATCATAAACACTAAATAGACTTTGCTTGGTGGCCCTGGTGGTTAGTACTTTGCAGGGCATTTCACAAGACCACAGTTTAATTGCTGGTCCGGTTGGCAGAGCCTAGAGACAATACTTGACCCTGGGCAAAGCTTAGTAACTTGTGGCTCTGTAGCAGCTCTCGCCATTAAAGCAGGGGTGTTGCTAGGCTCTTGAGACAGTGGCATCTAGACTGCGAGACCTCAGCTGGCATAGCCTCGGAGCTATGCAGCTGTGGTTCAATTCTCTGACACCAATAGCCTGCCCACAAGCAGAAGGCCCCAGCCTGGCTCTCACTAGCCTAGTTACACTTTGCAGAGTGACAGGTGGCTCTGAGAGTAGGGGAGAGATGGAAGGGGAATCCTGAGGGCTCCAACAGGAATGCAAAGGTCCCAGAAACATGTGGTTACCGTCTCATCCAGTTGTGTATAATCCTGGGATAATTTCTGTGACTGGATTGTGGTTCATTACTGCACAATGATCTACATGCTTCTGGCACAGAGTTTTCTAATAAAGCTTGAGGGCTGCATTTCTGAACCACCAGAAAGTGAGTAACACCAAGTCAAACCAGCACTTAGCTCTGTCGGAGTGGAATATTTTCCCTTGACACTGAGAGCCTCTCATTGTAATCTTAGTTGTCATCATCATTATATCGTTTGTGTTTTCACATCTGGTCTCGGCAATAATGAATTTAAAAAATTATACAAAATCTCAGTATGTCAGTAGGTCCTAATCATCATTGTTTAGTCTTTCAATAACTGAAAGTATTTAAATGAGATGAAATCAAAAGATTCCCAAGACAACAGGCAGCTCTTAGAGGAAGTGAAGAATAAGAACTGAGAACAAAGAGTGCTAGAGTGACCAAAGTAAGCTGCAGATTTATAGCTCAACTGGTAGCACTTTTTGATGTCTTACACCAGTCCTTGGCTGAGCAGTCAGTGCTGACAAGGCAGTGCAGAACAGGTCATTGCTAGAGATGGCCTTCTTCAAACTGAGAGCTTAAAACAAGGTCCTTTCTGCCTCTTTGTAGTAGCTGTTGAAGTTCCCATGGTACTGCTTGTGAAGTCAGGGATAAACTCTGTGTCCCAAACATCATTCTCTGTCTCAGTTAAACAGATTCTAATGACAGCTGCAGCATGACAACTATCTAGCTCACTGCCCTGTATAGTGCTTTGGGATACCCAGGCTATACAGGGCATGGTGTGATGCTGACTATTCTGTTAAAAAGAGAGGGGCAACTACATCCTCTATTTAGTGTTGACAGCATGCTCAGTGCGCTATGTAAAGGAAAATATAATTCCTTCTCTGAAGAACTTACCGCCTAAATGAAAAGGCAACATAAGATGCACTGGGAGACCCAGAGGATGATGCTAACTTCCTTCAAACCTTTCCACCATGCCTGCCACATTAGTCATTCCACAATTTTCATATTAAAAAAATAGAGACTATACATAATTAGTTAAGGCACTGATTTTTGGAAGTGCTGGGCACTTCAAACTCAAGCTGAAGTCAATAGGAGCTGGGGGCGAGGAACTCTGAAAATCAGGCTTTGATGGCACATAACTTATTTATGTAGATCAGAACTGAAGCCACGTTGTGCTGGGCACTCTAAAAACATAGAGGCAGACATAATGCCTGTCCCAAAGAGCTTGCAAACTAAGAAGTACTTCAATCTGACTTGGGGGCCAGAAAGCCAGCTGGTTAAATGTGGGTGATACGACAACGGGGTATTTTGAAATAACCTGAAGGATGTC